AAAATACCAAGTGATTATTTTCACTGGTTCTCTTTGGTAAAGAATTATTTCTTTTATGAGAAATCTTGCTAATCATTCGAGAAGTCTTATAAATGATTTAGACAGCAATGTTGTGGAACGATTTCACAGTGTTATTGCAAAATTCGTGGGTGGAAAACGAGTAGACTACTCCCTACGAAGGAGTTATCAGACGAGAAGCATTGAAGCTGCAATCTCATTTAATTATTAAAGACCTTTCATAAACACCTAGCAGGACGAAGTCCTCGAGGATGAATGAATATTTTCGAGGACAAAAAGATTAAAAGATTAAATCTTCTCAAGAAATACACATACCAGAAACTGCCAGTACCATTAGCAACAAAGAGAGGTGAAAATTATGGAGAATACAGTCATAAGCAAGATGTATCGGAGGGTCTTATGGAGAAACTTAAGATGTCCTTTATCGAAAACTTAAAGAGGACAGATAAAAAAAACGCAATATATTGAAGGGAGAACTATACTGAAAAGCAGCTCAAGTGAATGGTTAGAGTTACGACGATCATTGCTTACATCATCCAATTTTGGACGCATTGTTAAAAGGAAAGAAGACATTAGTTGCTCAAATATAATTAAAGAGGTGCTATACAAATTTCATAATTTAGACCATGTTCAGTCTATAAAACATAGTCGCGAAAACGAAAAACTTGCCCTTGAACAATAATTGGCAAGGCAAGAAAATGTAATAATTAAACCCTGCGGACTTTTTATAGACCCAGAAATTTAATTTCTAGGAGCAACTCCGGATGGCCTGTGTGGTGACGACATAATCATCGAAATCAAGTGCAAGCTATTAAAACCACCACCTTCTAGATCCAACTTCTAGATCCAATACAAACAGGATAGGATTTTGGTAAATAAAAACCATAATTGGTACATGCAAATAAAGGGGCAACTGCAAGTCGCCAGAAAAAACATTTGCTTAGTCGCCATGTGGTCAAATCAATGAACCACTGAAAATAAAAATTATACATAGAGATGATGAGTATTTTGAAAACATCATGAAAACTAAACTTCTTGCATTTTATGAAGATTGCATTTTGCCCGAACTTGTTGATCCACGACATACCAGAAATCTACCTATAAAGGAACCACAGTACATAAAAGATGCTATTGAAAAAAAAAAACAAAAGCTCATAACGAAAATGAAAAACCGCCTTCTTTCTTCGAGCACATCTTTTTAATAATTTCGATGTAGTCTGGGGATAATATTTGAAATCTTCATTATATTTGACCGTGTGTGTTACTTTTATAAGTCTATGTAATTTTTGATGGAAATTATTATTGCAGATAAAAGGCCTTTCACATTAAATTTGGTCTGGAAGGAAAAACACAAAATAAGAATTTGAATTTTTTAACAAGTTCTATCGGTAGTATTCGTTTTACATAAATCTCGTAATGACATGCATTTCTTTCAATATGAACTTAGTTGTGTTTCTTTGAAACTGACAAGGATTGTTTTGCCCAATATTCCTCTTAGAGGTGTAGGACCTATAAGAAGAATTTTTGAGATAGGTTTTAAGATAAGGTAATAGATATATTCACTTTCTCAAAACAAATCCCGTTGATGGTGGATGGCGGCTCATTTGTAATATAATATGTAAGTATTAACAAATTTGATTATAAATTTACAATTTTCGTCTACAAATACTAATTTACTTAAAGCTACATTTACAACACAATTAATTGTTATAAAAATAAAAAAAGATAGTTTTCGGTATATAAGTAAAAATAATTATTTTCGATAATTTTAACAATAACTTGACATCCTCGTCAGCGCGCGATTCAGATCCACTGAAGTTCAGCAAGCACTGTCAAATTTAGTAGGAATAACAGAGAAGTCGCTCATCGGTAAAGAAATTATGGGCTAAGTCACAAAAGGAATTATTTTAATTAAAATAGTTATGTGACACATAATTGTACTTAATATCCTCAACATTTTTTTATGGAAAACTAAGAAAATTGGAAATTCAAGTATTTTCAGAGGTTAATTTGGAATTATTTTATAGACTTTTGTGGAATCGTGTTTTCTACAGAAACATGCTTAATTGGAACTACAATTTTTCGCTAATGATGTGACCCATAGATTCACATGCAGCTCAATTTGGCTTTATTCAGCCTCTTGAAGGGACACCTCTTGATTCCGGGATTTTGACCGCTTTCATGTGCAAATATTGGAAGATGTAATATTATATTATCTGTCCCGTGAGAGATAACCTTTTTTCTTATACACATATTATTATTCCAACGACAGATCCATGGCGCAGTGGCTTAGCATTTAGTTGCAGTGCTAAGAGCCGCGGGTTCGAACCCCACACGGAACAAGTATTTGTATGGTCTACAAATAATTGTTCCAGGTCTGGATGTTTGTTCATGTGCAATTTATGTTTTTAAATTGCCTTCACAGGACAAGAAAATATCCTAGTATGGCAGTAACGTTTTTAAAAGAATTATATAAAAAATAACAAAAATAAAAATCACTACATATTAAAAACTTTCAAAATCTAAGTAGCGCGAGTATGTTGGATGTTCCACATCAAAATTATAAAATCATGTTTGTGCATCTTGATGGGGACATATGTTTTGAGCTTGTTCAACATTTTCTTGGTAACAGCTTTGTAAAGATGGTGACGATGGTTTTTCATTTTCTTTATCAGCTTTTTTCTTCTGTTTTTTTTCAATAGCATCTTTTATGTACTGTGGATCCCTTATAGATAAATTTCTGGTATGTCGTGGATCAACAAGTTCAGGCAAAATGCAATCTTCATAAAATGCAAGAAGTTTAGTTTTCATGATGTTTTCAAAATACTCATCATCTCTATATATAATTTCTGTTTTCAGTGGTTATTTTGATTTGACCACACGGCGAACAAGCAAATGTTTTTTCTGGTGACATGTAGTTGCCCCTGTATTTGCATGTACCAATCATGGTTTTTATTTACAGCAATCCTACCCTGTTTGTCTTGGACCCAGAAGTTAACTTTTTTGGTTTTAATAGCTTGAGCTATTCCTATCTTATGTGCCGTTATTGGACATTTGATTTCGATGATTGTATCGTCACCACACAGACCATCCGGAGTTGCTCCTAGAAATGAAATTTCTGGGTCTATAAAAAGTCCGCAGGGTTTAATTATGACATTTTCTTGCCTTGCCAATTGTTCAAGGGCAAGTTTTTCGTTTTCACGACCATGTTTTATAGACTGAACATGGTCTAAATTACGGGATTTGTATAGCAACTCTTTAATTATATTTGAGCAACTAGTGTCCTCTTTTCTTTTAACAATGCGTCCAAAATTGGATGCTGTAAGCAATGATCGTCGTAGCTCTAGCCATTCACTTGAGCTGCTTTGCAATATAGTTCTTCTTTCAATATATTGCCTTTCTTCATCTGTCCTTTTTAAGTTTTCAATAAAGGTCTTCTTAAGTTTCTCCATAAGATCCTCCGATACATCTGGCTTATGACTGTATTCTCCGTAATTTTCATCTCTCTTTGTCGCCAATGGTACTCGTCGTTTATGGTATGTGTATTTTTTGAGAAGATTCAATCTTTTAATCTTTCTGTCCTCAAAAATTTTCATTTGTCCTCGAGGACTTCGTCCTGCTAGGTGTTTATAAAGGGTTGACAAAGGTCTTTGCGAATTAAATGAGATTGCAGCTGCAGTGCATCTCGTTTGATAACTTCTTCGTAGGGAGTGGTTTACTCGTTTTCCACTCACGAATTTTGCAACAATGCTGTGAAATCGTTCCACAACATTGCTGTCTACATCATTTATAAGACTTCTCGAATGACTAGCAAGGTTTCTTATAATAAAACCAATTTTTTTGCCAAAGAGAACTAGTGAAAAAATCACTTGGTATTTCATTAAAATTGGTTTCGTTTATATCGTCTCTTTCATTCAAGGATTTGCAAAAATAGAATTTACATTTCGTGTGAGATTCAAAAGCGTGCAAATGCGTAGCTAAAATATCTTCAAAAAGTAAGTTCGTATAAAAATTATCGTTTCCTTTCTCAGAATGATATTTAATGGCAGCGCATATGCTTTTTCTGATAGTTAGAATTCTTTTCTTTGTTAAAAGTTTCCTCTGCTTAATTGGATATTTTGTTTCAACTTGTAGGTTTTGTAACTTATTACATAAATTTCTCATGAGGTGGTTCCTACACTCAATTTTTTCTACAGTAAAATTTTCGTATGGGCGAGCTTCAATTATTTTATAGTAGGTACTAGAGTCTCCGTCAGATATTAATCTTCCATAAATAAGACCGTGTCGCTCCAAAGATTGTTTAAAGCCTTCCAAAATTATAGTGGACTCTATACTAGTTGAAGGTCCGTTAAAATTTTTGAAACATTGATGTGATTTTGGATTTACTATTTTTCTTTCAGCTTGGGCACAAATACTGCATTATTTATTTTTAATTCCCAAGTATAAAATTTTTCCAGTTTTTCGTCCAATTATAGCGGCAGCTCCAGACAGTGAAGAATAATTTTTCTTATATGTGCGCTTTGAATAACACCCATCGGCAAATACATCAATAACAGGTATCCCATTGTTATTGATTCTGCCTTCTGCTATTGCTATAGCCTTTTCTTCTTCTCCAACCTTAGTCATATTTTCTTCAGCAATTTCTTCCCACTTTTTGGCTATCGTTTCTTGTTTTCTTCTAAATATAGCTGATGATATAAGAGGTAAATCAAGCGCTGAAGCCAGTTCCTGGAGTTGTGAATGACCGCAACCAATAGCAATGGTACCTGCTACAGCTGAGTTGTTTATATCACAATCATCGCCATCACTTTCAACATAAAAAACTGACTTGCTTAGGTCACATTGGAATTTAAATTTAGATTTAAATCCAGTTTGTTTTTCTCCTACTAGTTGTAAACACTGCAAATCACAATCAAGAGGGCTATGTCTGGAAATTTTTTTAATTTCTTTGAAAAAATAATTTATATTCACAAGGCGTCTTCCTAAAGGCACTTTAATTTTTTTTCTGGTTGTTCCATTTCAATATAAAGTTCTGGACTCTTTTCTCTGACTCTTTGTGGCTGCAAAATAATAATTTAATAACCATGTAAGTAACTAAGTTTAATAATTAGTTTAGATACATAGGGTATCTACATAGGTTCACATTGAAATTTAAGTAGTCACGGGTGTAAAGAGACTATTTTCAAAATCGGAAGTGAGCAAATGAAAGATTGTTTTAGTTTCTTCAGAAAATATCGTTTTGTCTCCTATCGTTACATATGCTATCATATAATCATTTGTTTCTCAGGTGAGGCAACGGCTGCAAGGTCATCGTCTTCAACAATGTCATATGAACAATAAAAATAATATCATGAAAAAAAAATCGTTAATAAAACTAATATATCTGAAAATATTACCTCAATATCTTGTGAATGAACATGTTTATTTACTTCTACGGACATTAAGTGTGTATCTGCGGCTCTGCAAAAATTAAATAAGTAATCATACATCGGTGAAGTTATTACTTGCTTTTAATTCGATTTTTTTTTAGGATAAGGGTAACAAACGAGCACAAAGTCCACCTAATGTTAAGTGGTTACTGTGGCCCATAGACATCTACATCTATCTTCGATTACGAATCAAAATGCAGATGCGTTGTCACCCGTGAGGACTAAGATGCAATGCCTCGTTTCCAGTACAAAATGGTCTCTGGTTCTCTACACTCACCATACGAAACACAACAGCGTTAAGCTGCAATTTTACGTTGATATTCTGTGAGAGCGTGGTCCTTCCCCGGTTGAGCCGACCCATTCGTGATACAACTATACTACTAATATAGCTTCAACATGGCTCTATCACGTATAAAATCGATTAGTAAAGTATTACTAAAGTGGAATGATGTTTAGTGTGTCGGTTACTTGATAACATCTAATTTCAATTAAAACCACCAGACACAAAATAATAAGATATATCTGTGACAGTTTTTATTTTTACTTACGCTGCTGCACTATTTTCATTACGATTTAATTTTGGTATCGAATTAACTGACGTGATGTGTGATATTATTTCTGAAGGACTTTCATCCTGTGGGATTCTGCACTTATCATTATCACAATATTTCCCTCTTCTTTGTTCCCTTAAAATAATTTTATAATTTAATAGCAATAACTCCAATAGTAATAATAAATATCAATTTCTGTAGAATAAATGTAGCTAATAGGCAAAAATGTGTTAGTACAACTAGATATAGTTTATGTTGGACTCGCAACGACTAAAACCACATGGTGTTCCACCTCCTCCGCATATTGGCAGGGCTACGAAACGCTTTTGCACACATCCGCGGCCTCACCAGTGCCAGACGCTCCATGGCAGCCCCTCCTCGGAGGAGGACCTCTCCTCCCCCTTTTTTCCTTTTTAGGTGAGGCGCACCAGGAATACGATGCGCACCTTCTTCCCCTGCCTTAACTCCACCTGCGCAACGAACCCCCCGAGTCCGATACGTGGAGGTCATGGGGCCGGGAAAAAACCCTCTGTGGATTCAAGTTCCCTCCGCCATCCAAGTTTCCGCCGCGGAGGGTAGTAAGAGCGGCGCTTCGTAATACCAACACTCCCCCCCTCGCGGCCCCACCACCACCACACGGTGCAGACCCACTAGAGTCGCGGAAGATAGGGCGAGTGTTGCATCGTCATACCAACGCCACTCTTCCCACGCGACTCTACCTCGGTTGTGGCGGTAGAGGGGGAGGACACCACTCTTACTGCAGTCCATCAACACACATCCTAAGTGAGCTTGTCAAGCCCACTCGGAGTGGTTCCTCTTCGTTCACCATGATAAGGCTCGTTCTTTGGGGCTGCGTGTTGATCTTGTGTGTGATCTCCGTGAAATAAGAGTGTTATTGATAACAAATATACTTACCAATACTTTCTTAATTGCAGTCCTGTTTTAACATGGAATTTTTTCTTTTGCTTTGGCATTTTTCAATTTGACAAATTAACGTCGCTGCGAATTTTATGTCGCTTATTCTTTGAGCACTTAAAAAAATTAATATATTTATAAATAAATATTTACAGCTACTAATGCATATAAATTAACTAAACTAAGTATTTCTATGTAAATAAATACTTCCAAATGAGTATAAACTCTTAAAAAACTAAAATATGTTTGAACGAAGTCGCTCCAACACCGACGTACGGTCCACTCTCGACGATGTCCGAAAACGGACTGTGACAGAGCTTACATGGCGACGGAGCATGCGCGCTCGCGTAAATATATTCAATTTCAGGGAAAAATGATATATTCTCTTATAAAACGGGTAATAAAAATAAAACTCTCAATTAAAAATATTAATATTTTAAAGACCTTTTTTTTAGTGTAAGAACTATTTAAAAAGCTTGTGCCGTTTTTGAGAAATTTTGCAAAATATGACAAAGATAGGTACTCTTTGGCGATTTTTTTTCTAATAAGAGGTTGACAAAAATACAATTTTGTTAAATTAAAAACATTAAACAAATATTCTTCTGTTACCCTGTATTTTTTCTTTGTGGATTAAATGAACAGTTATTGTGATTTTCTTATTTAAAATCTAAGAATTTAGGCATTTCAGTAGCACTTAAAGCCTTAATTTGATTCGACGAGTTGCTTCGTGGCATTTTGATATCGTGCCAGGGAATTTTGCCTTGTTGTGTGGAACGCTGAACTTTGAGACTCGAGCAGAGGCCGCGTTCGTTCCCATGTTTGTAATTTGTACTAAGTGAACCCGGAACATTGAATATTGAACTTTGAACAACTGTTCGTTACTTGTGTCGTGTGTCACTTGTTTTAATTTTGATGAACGTTGAATTGCTTGACTTTGAAGTTAATTAAGCGTACAGTAAAGTTGATAAACAAATATAGTGAAAATGATAGCGGAAGTTTTCAATTGAGAGATCTCACTTTTGGCGAGAAGCAGCGCTTTTGGATCTGCTGTCCGACTTCAACGGTTAAGTCAGGTTACATTGTACACACTACTACACACTACTTACATGCACATCACTTATCACTTGACTGGTAACCTGTGGTCAACCCTACCTCCGGAAATCGGTAATTTGTACTTGCTTATTTATCAGCCGCTTTAGAACACATATCTATAGACCATTGGGCCCCGTCCTCTGTTGCCCGTCGATTGGATTACTCATGGGCCCTAGTCCAGTCAACCTTTGTCGGGGCAACTCAGGGCGTGAACAGATATATAGATATATATACGAGTTTGTGCACTTTTAGATTTTCTAAACTATGCAATTGCTTATTTTATAAAAAAAATTAAACTTACTATTGTAGCGATACATAATTTTACAATTACATTAATATAAAAAATGTCGATTTTGAAGTGTTTTATAAATTTTCAAAACTGTTTTATTACAAAAAGCTTACTTTAAGCTTTTTGTAATAAAATTGCTTTTAAACTATGTTAACGAATTGCTGTCGCCAAACCTTTTTGGCGCTAAAATGATTTAAACACAGCCGCAGGTCGTCGCGTTGACGAGAAAAAGATTAAACTAAACTCTTGACTAATAAAATTTACAATTGAAATTTTTAAATATCAGCGTTCAGGAAGTGTTGACAAATCGAGTTTAATAATCAGTTAAATTATTATATTTTTACGCAAAAACAACCAAATTTTTTTAGTCAATAAATGCAGTATAATAATATGTCCGCGTCGTATGGATACAAAAAAAACAGCAGCACAGCTTACTGCTGTTTCTCATGTAGTAAGTGTAAAGAACCTGAGACCCTTTTTAATGGAAACGAGGCATTCTATCTTAGTTCTCAGGGATAATTATGCATATGCATTTTGTTCTGTTGTGCTTGTGCACCAAGCTTTATGGCAATCCTTGATGTGCCTATGTTCGTCAGAAAACTTGTGATGGACTAAACAATAACGTTTTCATACATATAGTCGCAAGGCATAAGTAACCGTTTGTTTTTTTGAAGAACTTTAAATAGATTTTAGACTATTTTTTTTTATTACGTACATCTTTATATATAAAAATTACGTGTCACGTTGTTTGTCCGCGATGGACTCCTAAACTACTGAACTGATTTCAATGAAATTTTGCATACTGTGTGCATTTTGGTTCAACTTGAGAGATAGGATAGTTTTTATCCCGATAAATGACCCTCAAAATTTTTTATTGCGAATTTATGGATTTTTGCAAGTAGCAGATCGCAACTGCGATGGGATCGTGAGTGGCACCGTACTCCGGATCAGACAATGGTCCGAAGAGCCAAGAGGGAGACCTGACAAGAGAAGGTACATAATCCTCCACATCTGGTATCCGGGTAGGCGAAGTAACCAGTTGTGTCAGACCAAATTCCAATGCAAAGTCAAAAACAAATCTACCCGTATGATCGGTTAAACGGGAACCAAGCCGTTCAGCGTGGTGGGCGTTAAAATCACCGAGCATCATGCTCTCTATGGATGGGACATATTGTATCACGGAGTCTGCAGTCATTTAGATGTGATCGATGAGTCAGTCTGTGTCGGCATTGCCGCTATGGGATCTATAGAGGCACCCGTAGACGCGGGCATGGTCGTCGCTGTCTACGCGCAGCCATAGGATGGACAGGTTCGTACCTGGGTAGTGTTCTATTTTACTCAGCTACGATTTAAAGGAGTAGGGGGTACGGCAAAATGTAGCAGTAAACATCTACTTCACGCTGATATTCTGTGAGGTTATGGTACCACCCCGGTTCGAGCCGGCCCATCCATGCGACATCAAAAGCTGCCGCGTGGCTCTATCACTATTTTATATATAATTTCTATAATGTCTTTTTATCTTTCATGTTGAATTTTGACACGTAACCTGATCGTGAGTGTATTGTGTTTGCACACCTCGAGGTGTCCCCAAGTTTGCCGAACCATTACACTTTGTACACTGTGAGAGTTTTGTTTGCATGAGACACGGCGGTGACCTGGTTTAAACTTTTTACATAATATGCTGTTTATAACTGAAACTAAGGGCAGGTTGTTTCATCGACACTTATCGATCACTACATCATAGACATAAATATAGAATTTCGGAAATTATATGTGTTTTTATTACCTCTGGTCAAAGATCTGGTTTACCGAAACGCGTGTTAGTTACAAGTAATAACGCCATATTAATAATATGTAAATTAATTTATTTAAATTTAGTTTAATTTTTTATGGATATCAAAATTAATGGAAATAATAATGATTGAAAAATAATAACTTACTATTATGGCTACATTCATTTTTGCAAAAGCAAGCAATACGGGCGCTATCTATCCTCGATTAAGAATCAAAATTCATATGAGTTTTAACCCCTAAGGATTAATATGGAATGCCTACTTTCCAGTAAAAATGGTTTCCGGTTCTCTACGCTCACCATACGAAACCCAGTAGTATAGACCTGCTATTTTATGCTGGTATTCTGTGAGAGCGTTGTCCTTCCCCGGTCAAGCCGACCCATTTGTACTTCATCCATATTATAACTGCAGCATGGCTCTACAACGTAAATAATAATTTCATTATAAGTCATTTGATGAAAGCGAAGTGGCCCTACGAGTATGGTTATTCAGTCATCGATACCATCTTGTTTTTACATCCAATAATGTTTAATCAAACAAAGTTCCTTGTAATTGACGTTGACGTCACACTGTGATCAGATCCACCGAGGCGAATGTTCCAGAGTCTTATTGCTCATCATGTATTTAATGTCACGAACATATTCGCTTTGTTATTGCGAAGCTATTTTCTTTAGCACAATAATTAATTTGTCGCGCTGCGTATGTTTTTATGGGTACGATTGACGTTTTAATGTAAATATTGTTTTTGTAACCATTGATAACAATTTGTAATAAGCCGTAAAAATGGTATTATAATATTTTGTTATTCATTTAAAGTAATGTCTATATACATATTTTACGTAGTAGAACAGCTATATTATTATGACTCAGGGTGACTTTTGTTTTAATTATTAAATTTCTATCAGAGTATAGGTTAAACAATCAATAAAAGAAAACATATTACAGTGTAAAAATGTTGTGGACGTGTTTATTTTAATCATCAGCAATTTATTTAAAATATTAAATGTCATTAATTGAACTGTTAATCGCTATATATGAAAATCAATTGCTGTCGGTTTGTCTGGCTAAAACTCGAAAATGGCTCAACCGGTATTTGATGATTTTTTGTGTGTATTTGAGTGGATCACTGGATGGTTTAGATTCACAATTAAATCAGGTAGGTGACACTGTTATCGAAATCCAGAAGTCACCAGCGAGAAGTCGGGGAGAATCGTTAGTATAAAATAATAGTCGCTAGGAAAAATAGAAACCTATCTATAGTAGCATATCTCGTAATATGTATTTAAGGGTTTTTGACATTAAAGGGTTTTTGGAGGGTTTCGCAATTAGATTATCAAAGGACTTTTGGTCATTTCCAATACATGAACAGAAGTATTCATAATAAATTTTGTAACATGAATGATATTGAGTCTACTGTCAATTTAATTCATTCGTTCATTATAACCTATCGAAAGCCCAACCAGAGACTCTCAGACCCTCTTAACTGGTAACTAGGCATTCCATCTTAATCTTCAGGGGTGACAAGGCATCTGCATCTTGATTCTTAATCGAGGATAGATGTGTGGCCTAACTCGCTTCTGTTGGACCCCAAATAAATCCGCTACGGTTCTGAAGCTTGAGCCACGCTTGAACTTCACGCCACCGGAGCGAAACAATGGCGTGACCTAGATATGCGACGCACCGCGCCTTCGTAAGAGCGCGTGCCGGACCACCGTGCATTCCGCCGGCAGGTAGGTCAGGAACAACACGCGCGCGCCTCTCACCTCGATTAACTTATCTTCTACGCGAAGTTAATTTCATTCTTGTAAATTGTTGTCAGTAAAAGTTATTTTTTATCTCGATTAACATTACTTCATTCGGAGTCATATAATTCTTTATCCTATTC